TTGAAAATTTAAATTGACATTTGTGACTGTATACAAAATAGACCAGCAAATATTGCAGGAAACATATTGTGAGGGAACGCAAAGGTTTTGCGAGGTAATGCAAAAGAAGAAAAAAAACCCACGTCCCCTAGGGGGCTCCGAAGTTAAGAATGCCAGAATACGTGAACAAGAGGTTTTTTCAATTTCTGGTCGTTTTAGACCTTTTTGTAAAAACAGCACCACATACTGACAAAAACAAGAACTACAACCAGTAGGTGAAAAAAAAAATGGTTTGCAAAATATATTTTTCACCAAATTACTGAAACACTATATACTGTCACTGGAAGTACTTAACCCTGTTCTAAAATACATACATTCTGAAAGTATGTCTTTAAAAATACTGTAATTATTTGTTAAAAATACAGAATTTGGACATAACCTTCTATTTTTGTCTGTCTAATTATTTTTAATACACTAAAATAATATCAAAACAATAAACCAGTATTCAAGTCGCTTTTTACTCTTGAGAATAATTCTTGACTACTATAGCCACCTCTGTTCACACCTGGATGTATTTTTTCCTTATTTTATTTGTTTTTGAGATCAATAAAGTATTTTTGAATGGAACTGAAATTAATTTTGAAACGAATTTTAAATTTTGAGAAGACGTAATTAACGCAGTAAGATACAGCATAGCAGTATCATAACTGCTTACAGGTTTCCCTGACCAGCTTGGTTTCCCTGGTAACCATTAATTATTGTCACCTGCTGACGATTCTACCGAACCACCTTGTTAAATTACGGTAATGTTATATTTTAATGATATTAAAACACTTTTACAATGGACAATAACTAGTTTCTACCACTTCGATGTGTTCAAACTGCCTTCAGCTGAATACCTGAGTTTGTTCAACGATAGTTGAGCTTCAGCTGCTTTCTGTGTCAAAACTGTGAGCTTAGCGAGAATATGGCTACTAGCTGCTCCGCTCGTAATTGCAGCTCGTGTTATTTTATTTGCTATACAAGACTGGTAAAACCAAGAGACAACTATTTATGTCAATTTCCTCAGCTTGAAGTTCTTTCTTCAGGAACCACACTGAACTGAAGCGACAGTTAAGTTTTTCCTCCAATTTGTTCTACTTTTGAACTTCAGGAGGCGCTATTGGGTTGATACTGACCAGGGCGGCCAAGTGGACCAGCTCCAGAACACCGGTACGAGCACAGGCAATTTGGAGTCCACGCAACTTACCGGGTATAAGGAAATCCTGGACTTGTTGGGGAATTTAGGTTCCAAACACCCGCAGGAGGCAGAACGTGTTTGAGGAGGCGCTTCAGTGGAACACCACTTTAGCGAAATCTGATTTCAAAGAAGACATCAGGTTAGTCTAATGATGAACTGGCTGCTGCTCTCACTATTATCTGTCTCACTGAGGCAGGCTGTCATCACTCAGTCTCTTAGTGTCAACACAATCTCAGAAAGTTCGTTTTCCTGGGCTCTGCTGTAGCAATTCAGACTCTATCCAGCTGAATAGCTTAGTTTTGTTGCAATTAATTTATTTTCCATCTTCAGTGAAACAGAGAAGGTTCCATTTTTATATAATCAGATGTTCTGGTCTGCTTTTATTGTGTGATTGAAGCTGAACCTCCAAGGTGTGTAGTGGAGAAATGCAACAACCAGATTAAACATTCCTTCCAGTGTTTTGGAGCAAGAGGCAAGGCAGCTACATTCCTGTGTGTCAAGTTAAATTAAGCATAATCAAATCAACCTTTCATTTTTCACCTTTTATTTCCTTTTTTTTTTTTTAGGCGAAAGCCATTATTGTCTTTTTTGTGTGNAGAACGTTGTGGAAAATCAGAGAACACTGAGATGAAAGACCTGCAGAAGAACTTGAACGTTCATCTTAAAGCAGGACCTTCCAGGTTGTGGTGAATAACTCTGAACTGAGTGAACCTTTGGGTCTAAACAGAGAGAGTGAACACAAACAGAATATTTTCAGTCCTCAGTGTTTGTTTGCAGGACAGAGCCAAACCAGGAGCAAGAGAGGAAACAGGCTCTCAAATATGAGCTGAGGTGGATGATCTTATTTGCTTATTTTATTTTTTCACATGTGCTGTCATTGCATTGCATTTCAGGCTCACATCAAGAAGCTGTCTGCCTACATGTTTTAGGGCAGTTTTGCTTTTCAAAAACCCCCCAAAAACATCCCAATGGCATGATTGACTTCATTAAATCAGAGGATTTGAGACAATATTAACATTGGCACTGTAAAACAGGTCAGAACAGCTAACGTTTCATTAGCTTCTGTTTGAAACTTTTTGAGTTATAAATGTGGTTTGTAACAAGTTATGTTTTGTTTAACTTCTTGAAAAAATCTTTTAGTATTTGTTTTACTACATCACACTTTTTATTTTTACTTGGGAATGCTATTATGAAATATCACTACTCTTAATTGAATATAATTTCTGGACACTTGACCCACTGTAAGTTGCTTTACTAAATGAAGAACTAATATGTTTTAACCAAAAAATAATAGACAGACCTACTGTTCTAATGCCATTGTTTTATCTGCTGAGCCTGATGTCCCATTTGTTGGTGAAGTTAATATATAGTAAACACCATATACTGTCACTGGAAGTACTCCTTCTAACACATTACCTACTTCATATTAAAAACAAAATGGATTTTTAAAGGTGATTCCTCTGCCTGAATTTATTTTGAAATATGTTATTTGTATTTTTTCCCTCTTGAATTTGTTCCTTACCAGAATTTGCACACAACTAACGATGTTGTCTGTCTGATAGCATTTCAGTCGGTTACTCCAGTCGCCTTTTACCAAATATATAATAATAATAATAATAATAATGATGATAATTTATTTTAATTATTTATATATTTTTTACAATATTATATATTATATAATATAAATATTTTTCTTTTTACCTTTTTACTCTTATTTGAGAATAAATCTTCGGCACTCTACCCATCTCTGCTCAAATCTGCTTTCATTATTCCTAATTTCTTCGTGTTAAAATTAACCAGAAGAGGGAGTTTAGCCCAGCTCGTCTTCTGTTGTTCTTGACTGTATCATAGCAACAAAGAAGGGACGCTGGAACGTGCCGCTTGGTTGCCGTGGTAACCCTTGATTATTGTCACCTGCTGAAGATTCCACAGAACCAACTTGTTACCAAAGTACGGTAATGTTACATTTTAAGTAACGTAAACACTTCTGTCAGGGAATATAAGTAGATTTTAGCATTTTACTATGTTCAAACTGCCTCCAGATGAGTATCTGAGTTTGTTGTTCGACGATAGTTGAGCACCAGCTGCTTTATGTGTTGAAAGGGTGAGCTAGCTTAGAGAGTGTCCATGCTACTAGCTACTCTCTAACCGTCCTAACTGCAACTGACAAGCTTTCATTTTATCTGCTCTGTTTTACAAACGCACAATGCTCAGTCGCTGAAGACATATGTAACATTATAAAAGACTCGCAAAACCAGAAATGGCTCATATTTATATTAATGTACTGCAGTACTTTATGGTTAAAATACTCAGAAAACAGCTTTTCAGCTGCTTGAAGTTCTTTCGTTAGGAGTCTGTTATTTACACCGATACTGAGCTGAAGCGACACTTGAGAGTTTTTGTTCTATTTCTGAACTTCAGGAGGCGCTATGGGGCTCATACTGACCAGGGCGGCCCAGTGGACCAGCTCCAACAAACTGGAGTCCACTCCACTGAACGAGTTTTTAGTGACGCAAATCCTGAACTATGCGGAGAAATTTGTTTCCAGGCACCCGCAGGAGGCAGAGCATGTGTTTGATGAGCCGCTTCAGTGGAACACCTCTTTAGTGAAATATGATTTCAAAGACGACTATATCATCAGGTTGGTCTAATGATGAACTGGCTGCTTCTCTCACTATCATTTGTCTCACTGAGGCAGGCTGTTATCAGTCTCTTAGGTCAACACAATCTCAGAAAGTTCGTTTTCCTGGGCTCTGCTGCAGCAATTCAGACTGTATCCAGCTGAATAGCTTACTTTTATTGCAATTCATTTATTTTTCATCTTCAGTGAAACAAAGAATGTTCCATTTAATATCATCAGATCTTCTGGTCTACTTTTATTGTGTGATTGACACAATAACCTGCCCGGTTAACAGTTGAGAAACAGTCCATCAGGATTACACATTCCTCCCAGGCTCTGACACACTGTTAACACCATTTGGTTATTTCATGTCTTTTAGTAATAGATTATGAGAAACATCTTGGTGGACTTTTGTAGCATGTGTCCAGTTAAATTCAGCCTAAACAAGTCGAGTTTTCATTTTTTACTCATTTCAATATTGCGTAGATGAAAAGCATTTCCATCTGCTGGGTGAAATTTTGCCTGTTTTCTCCAAAATTGTAGGCGACTCATTTTTTTTCTCTTTTTTTTATTTCCCATGCAGTGCCATAGGTGTAAAGTCCCTTGAAAAAGACAGTGAGGGGAAGCCACTGTTGCAGTTTTTTCCACCTTCTATTTCTGTTCGTACCTTCAGCCAGCTCTCTAAACTGCTGCATCTGGCAGATGACAGGAAGCGTCATGAGGTCCAAGTGTGTCTAGAAGGTAACTGTTTCCATCCTAAGCTGTCCAGCGTTCCTCCATCACCACCTGATCTCATTTGTCTGTGTTCCTGCTGGCACTCTGAAAGCATCCAATTATGTTGCCTTTGGCACTTTTTCATTGATGGCTTTTTACTTTAGCACCATAGACAGAGATGGTAATATGGACAGTATTTGTCTGAGAAAAGAAAGTGGAACTGATTTCCTTGGCTCTGGGGATGAAATTATGTAAAATAATAACTATCATTGTTTGTGTTTGACTCTGTAAATGTGATCTGTTCTGTGTGCAGAAAATAGAGACCTCATGGTTAAGATTGTTGGTCAGAGTCTCGCCAACACATCAGAGGAAGACATCTCAACTCTGGAGATAGATGTCAGAGTCAAGCTGTTCATCCTGCTCAGAAACACTGATGAAAAGATCCTCAACAAGTTTGTTGGAGAAATAACAAAGTGAGTAGCTCTCTACTTAGACACATCTTCACATTCCATCAGACCATGACTACTGTCCTCATTCAGACTGATCTGCTATGACCTGTCTGACAGAAACAGGCAGCATGATAAAAGATGGTACCATGACTGAATCAGATAAGATCTTTGATCTGTGTTTATCTTTCTACATTTTGACTCCAGACAAGTCAAGCTTTTACCCACCGCAGTGGAGGAGGAAGTGGAGTTCTTGAGACAGTACTGCACTGAAGGGGGGAAGAGGCTGCTGAAGTCACTGAGATACACATCAGGTTGAAATCTTCTTCACATTTCACTGTTAACAGGAATGGTGGCTTTTCCATAACAAAAATATTAATATTGTGCAGCTGGAGCCAACATGGAGGTCATCCTATCTGACAGATTCTGGTCTGCAGATGCTCGTTGTCTAACTGAAAACAAAGCCTGCAGCAGCACAAGTTACCATGTCCTTCTGCTCTTCAGCAGCATTGATTCAAATACTCTCCAAGTGAGGTTGAAGTGAGGCAGTGTAACTGTGGGACCAAGGTTCTTAGTGGATGATTTACATTGGAAATGAAAGTGTGATTCATGATCCAGAGCTGCTCTCCTCAGAGCTTCTATTCTATCACCATCAGCTGCCCAAGCTTCTGTTTCCATCCTTGGCTTCCTTTGACTTCCCATCCTCCTCAGTTCCTCCATAGGAAGTCTGGAACATTCCTGCAGGTTTTAAATGGCCCTGTATGCTCACGTTTAGTGTGTTTCTCTTTTCTTTCAGACTATGAATTTCCAAACGGCTGTCGCGCTCCACCTTGGAGACAGCTGCTCGGTGAGATTTGTTACGTTGTTATTGAGCCATGTGACGCTGAGGCGCTGTACATCACCTGCAGCTCTTCTGGAGTCTTTCTTAATGCGGTAAGAGTAGAAGGAGCAGCAGCATCAGGCAGTAAAACAGTGCTGTTGACTGTAGGTGAAATTGTTTTTCAGGTCAGGTTAATCAGTGTATTAATGTGCAGTTTTTCATTTAAATCATGAAATGTAATTAAAATTGATCATGAAACATAATGTGTTGCACGTTCCTTAATCTAGAGAAGAGTTTTGAATCTCTCAGAAACTGGAAGGATAACCACATTATCCCTTTTTCTGTCTCATATCATCCATTATCTGATTTTTAATGAACTGGAAACACAATTTGAATTTTAGAACTGGCTGTTTGCTCATGCATTTGCAGAAAAAGAAATGCTGGAATTTTTAGTTTTTATGCATTAAATAAACAAGGAATAAGAAATGAGTGTTTGACGTGCTGATAGGTAGAGACTGTTTGGTTTGCATTACTGCTTTATTATAATTAATGATCACATTTTGTTGAATGTTTTTACCACAGGGGCTGGACAAAGAAGAAGACGAGAGTCTCTATGAGAGACAAAGTGATTATTATGAAGACATAGCGACTCTTCTAAAGAGGGTATCTCCACATTTTGAAGAGAACGTGAAAAAACAGGTACAGTTGAAAAGATGCTTCTAAGCTTACACACCAACATGTCTTTTCTCAAACCTGTTTGGGGATAAATAATTCCTATTTGTCCTTGAAGAAGCTTTGATCTGAACCCTGCTGCTGCTGTGACTGAACAGAGTGAGGAGTGAGGAATCAGTCACTGTGCTACTGTGTGGTTGTCATTGGGTTGAAACATTTCTGATCTGCTTTCTTCCAAGTTCAGTCAAAACAGTAGAGGCTTGTTTAGGCCAATATACACACATATTGTAGAGGCACATTTTCCTCATTTCCAGACACTGAAATATGTGTGTTTTATTCAGTAGTACTATTTCCTACTGAAGTAATTTGACAACATAACAGATGACCTCAATAATGGACTCCATCTGTTCTTAAAACACTCTATTAATCATTTAGAAATTTGATCTTGGGCTCTCTTGCTCACACTGTGATGGAAAATATGCCATCATCACAGGATCATCGGATGCTTGAAGTTTTCTTTCATGCTCTCCACCTGATTTCTGAGGATCAGCTCTGGTTTTAAACTGAAGGAAAAGTTTCCAAAGCACATTTTTAGAAAAATCCTTTTATTAATGATATAATTCTCAATAAATGGAGATTATCATAACATATATTTAATTTGATTTCTAAAAACTGTGATGCATATTAGGAAAAAAATGAATAATCTGTCTCAAGCAACAAATCTTTGTTTGGTTTGATTAATACTGCTGTCATGCATCAGTGAGAATGTACAGTGATGTTGGGGATCTGAAGCATTACAAGGAGATTAAGAAGATCTTTCAGAGATTCTGTTTGTGGATCTTTTCTTTTTTCTTTTCAGTCCTTGAACCCATTCCGTTTTTGCAGACAGTTGTTGGTTAAAACCTTCACACTTACCTAAGAATCATCTAGAAAGGCATCTCAGCAGAGGGAATGACGCAGTGTTGGATCTACACATAACAGAACATTTAGACTACTATAAATGAGAACTTCAGAGGCAGGTTTCTAAGACTGAATGTTGTTTTTTATTTGCTCAAGTATTGCGTTGAAAATGAGTCAAAGAGCAGACTAGCAGACCAGATGAAGGTCTGACTGTTTGAGTAGAAAGGAGAGGATAAAGAACTGAGGCGTTCCTCAAGGCTGAGACGCATGCCTATAGTCACCTGTTGGTCCTCAGTTCATTTCCTTCAGCTGTTAGACCTGGAGGTGTCATCGTAGGTAGTTGTGGGGTTAGTCGAGGCTTCAGCAAACCAATGAGTAGTGCCAGAGTGAGCCATGATTAAAAAAGACATTTAGGCTTTAATGTTTTATGAGTTCTGTGTGGAGGGTGATGCCTAAAGACTGAAGAAAATAAAAATGATGGAGAGCTGCAGTAAAACTAACTGTGAAGGAGTCTGTGGTGGAACAAATCATTGTCTGGATCTGTTCCCCTTAGATTCCTTCATTGCTTTGATCCATACAGCTCACTGTCCTGTTAGTTTAGATTTTTATCTCTGCAGGATATATTAAGGCAGTTGTTTGCTGATAATTCTAGTGAAATGGGACAACAAGCGCCATATCTGGGAGATATTTAGGAATTACAGTCATTCTTATGGACAGGCTCTCTTCAGGGTCTTATTGATGAAACAAAGTTGCATCATTGCAGTTCCCTCGCCTGATGGCAAAGCAGAAGCTCAAACCCACAAAGCAGCAGGCAGAGACACCAGCAGCGGATCGCCAAATATGTCTGTTTGTTGTTGAAGTTTAACCAGCAGTGCTGGACCAGAGGATCCCAGAGGATCCCAGAGGATCCCAGAGGATCCCAGAGGGGATGTTAGGTCACCTACAAATAAAATGGGTTTTGCTCAGAACTCTCCAACATCACTCTCACTTACAGCGTTTCAAAAGCATCTGGAACAGAGTTTGATTTTATTCTAGGGAGTGTTCCCTTCAGCAAACACATGGCTCTTGTCCATTTCACATATAAGCGAATTACAGAATCTTGGTTAGCCTAATAAAGTCTGCCTGTTAGTCTGTGGTTGGGGGAATTGGCTTGTATGTTTCCAGTAGCGAGTCACTTTGTGTTTAATGAGAGACGATGGGCCGTGCTTGGCTCCAGCTAATGGTGAACCCAACCTGCAGACGTACATGTTCATTCCTTTCCCTGCCCTTAACAATGTGCAGCTCCTAACAGCCAATCACAGTCTGAGCTGTTCCTGCAGAAGCAGGTGTCTGTGATTAAACTGTGACCTGCTCTCCATTCAGACAGGGACATTGGCATTTTTCTACAGGCTGTAAAGTTTGCTGTTAGAACTTCAAATCCTCCAGAACCAGAACCAGAATCAGACCGGAAGAACAGCAGCTCAGTTCAGACTGAGCTGGAAGCTTTTAGCTGGATTCTGAGGAATGGGATACGTTTGTCATTTAATGATTAAAGAGGGATTTGTGCTTTGGAAAGCTTTGGGAACTTGTTCTTTTGTTCCAGTTCCTCAGTAAAGACCCAGTCCTGATGCAGGCCTGCAGATTGTTCATAAGGGATTTTATGGGAGTTCAGGGTTTCTCGTTTGCCTCTAATAATTGCTCTGTTGTTTTCATTTCACTCTTCTTGGACTGACATGACAACACTTTGTTAGACATTAATATCCTTTTCGTCCTACAATGAAACGTAACTAAACTCTGATGTTGGTTGGGACAATATTCAGAACACATCTTCACAAGTAGCAGGAATCAAACTGACCATTTGGGTTTAATAAGTAACATTTGCAGAGTTTTACAGACGTATTTTACAGATTTGTTCCATCAAGATTTATTATATTTGACAAAAGGGAATCTTTGGTCTCTATTTCTAATCTCTGTCTTTTTCTGTCACCATCAGTATTTTGTAGAACAGAAACCTCGTAGGAGTATTCATCTTGCACACGTGGTTTATGAAATAGAACAAGCCCAACCTAAGACGCCTGAAGAACGAGAGTGGGAGAAACTACAGCGAGCTCTATACGGCAGGAAGAAACGTGAGCCATGTCAGAGATGGAGGAATCTTGGTGTGCTGAATATATGTGGGTAAGTGAGAAGTGATGTAAGAAAAGTGGCTTTAAATCTGACCAGACTACCATGAAGAGAGCGAGGCAGTGATCCCTCTGTTAGTGCAGAGGAGCTTTGGAGCAGAAGGATGCCGAGCTCTCTCCACATCTGCTCAGCATGCCTGCCAGCAGTCACACTTTATGAAGAGATGATTGGATGCTTTATGAATATCAGTGGTAATATTCCTGATGGCTCAGTGATCAGAGTTAATAAAGACTTCATAGTGTGGGAACCCTGTCTGCCCAATTACAGACACCAAACCAAGAGAAGTTGTGAAAAAAAACCCAGCGATCACATCTGGTCTCTGACTGATAAATAGATCTAGAAAGAACTGAGCTGTTGCAGCTGGAGCTTTTGATAAGTGGACACACTGGAGGAGAAACTGGCTCAAGTTGAAAGGATCTCAGTGGCTAAAAAGTACCAGCCTTGTCTCAAATTGTTAAATAATGATGATGATAAAAAATAGAAGCAGTTATGACTCTTATTTGAAATTATTGCAGTGCAACAGAGGAAGAGGAGCTCTTGATGAGCCCTGCAGAGAGGAAACGACTGGGATCCAAAAACAAAACCATGATGAAGAGTGGACTCACAGCAGCATCTTCAATTGGACTCACAGCTTCCCAGAGAAGGTAAGTGCTACAGATTATCATTTCCCCGTCTGGGTCTAGAAAGAGAAGTTTTTTGCTTCACAGGTGAAAATGTTCCCAGTTTACAGCATCACAGAAGAAAGAAGCTTGTGTTTTGTTGAATGAAAGCAGCAAAGGCGCTGGAACTTGCAACTCCGACAACTGTAGCAAATGTTTACGTGGCAGCTGCAGCAGAAGTGGTGATAGAAATCAATTCACAATACATAAACAAGAGATAGTCAGAAACACTGGAGGAAACAAAAGTTACTACTGTAACTACGGTTCTATGAATCCTGGATGACTGCTAGAGGTGGTGTTTCAAGCACTGAATGATCATTCTTGCGCATGCGCAGATCGAGCACTAATGACAACAAAGTCACCTGTGACCTGCCGGGGACCCACGTGACTCTATATAGTCACATGGCACCCGGCGTTCAATCCCTCAACTTTCTCGCGAGAAGCAAGGATTCCGAGGGACCAAGCACTCTGGTGGTCATCCGGGATTCATAGAACCGTATTTACAGTAGTACATTTCATTCTATTTCATCCCTGACCGCCAGAGGCGGTGCTTCAAGCACTGGATGACGTATGCCAACAAGGTCACGAGGAATTGGCAATATTCAAGGGACAACCATTACGTCACTCACCCTAATATGATCTCGAGGTATGCTACTCCAGAATTCCTTGAAGGGGATGGGGCGTAGCCACATTCACCCTGTAAAACCGAGTAAAGGTACTGGGTGATATCCAGGAGGCCGCATGGCATATAACATCCAACGGCACCCCTGTCATGGCAGCAAACGAGGTCGACATGCCCCTTGTAGTGTGGCACTTCACTCCCGCCGGCAGTGCCCGGTCCTGCAAGGCAACCTTGGAGATCAAATCCACAACCCAGTGTGCAAGTCGCTGCTTAGAAAGTGCCTGACCTTTCCGTGGGCCAGTGTAACAAATAAAAAGGCTCTTCGTCCTTCGGAAGGATGCCGTAGCATTTATATATTCCTCAAGGGCACGAACAGGGCACAGTGGTTAGGAGGAGCATCCGGTGTCAAACCAGACAAGATGGAGCGGCTGGGTACTGCCTGCTGCCAATGACACTTTAGGCATAAATGCCACATCCGGCCACAGCGTAACACCTAAGCCATCAGGATTCCACCGGCAGCAGGGCTCGGCTATCGAGAGAGCCTGCAATTCCCACACGCTTTACGGAAACCATCGCCAAAAGGAACGCTGTCTTCAGTGAGAGCCATTTGAGGTCCGTAGATGCCAGGGACTCAAATGGGAGGGACCGAAGAGCCTCAAGCACCAAAGAAAGGTCCCATGCTGGTGCCACAGGGTGGTTGGATGGGTGGAAATGCCGAGCACCTCTCAAAAACGGTACAACATCCTTGTCTCGACCCACCCAACAACCATTCAGCCCGACATGCCAACAGGAAATGGCAGCCACATACACTTTTAAGGTAGATGGAGACCGTCCCCGGTCCAGTAATGCCTGCAGGAAGGTCAGTACGTCAGAGACTGAACACTGCACCGGGTCCTGCCCTTTATCACGGCACCAGGTCACAAAGGCTGCCCACTTGTTAGCATAGACGGCTCGCGTGGATGGCGCCCATACATTAGCCATTGTATGCCCTACTGACCCAGTGTATCTTGAAAAAGTGGGCCCCGGCCTTGCAGGGGCCAAATCCAGAGCTTGAGCCAGTCCGGTTTGGGGTGCAAAATCTGACCCCCCCCCATCTGGGAAAGAAGATCCCTCCTGGAGGGGAGACGCATTGGCGAGCTGGAGCTGAGCTCGTACAGTAGAGGAAACCAAGTCCTCGCTGCCCAGAAGGGGGCCACCAGCAGAATCCTGTGCCCCCCTGACGAACCCTCAGGAGAGTCTGAAAAAGTAGGCTGAATGGTGGAAAGGCATAAAGGAGGGTCCGGGGCCAGTCGTGTGCCAGCGCATCGTGGCCCAGAGGACCGCTGTCGTCCAAGGAGAACCAAAGGGGACAGTGAAATACGTCCCTCGAGGCAAATAGGTCCACCTCCGCCCTGCCGAAAGCTGTCCAGATGCACTCCACCACCTCCCGGTGAAGTTTCCATTTGCCTGGAAACGGCTTCTGACGGGATAGAAAATCGGCCGACACGGTCTGTGGCCCGGGGATGTAGGCTGCCCTGAGGCTGGTCAAGCATGGGGCTGCCCAGACCAGGAGCCGCCGAGTCAAGTAAAATAGTTTCCTGGACCTGGACCCCCCCTGGTGGTTGATGTGAAAAACCACAGAGGTGTTGTCTGACCTCACCAGCACATGCTTCCTCCCTAAGCCTGGAAGAAAGCTCCGGAGAGCGAGAAACACAGCCTGCAATTCCAGGAAGTTGATGTGTTCCCGGCACTGCCGCGGGGACCATGTCCCCTGTGCCACTTGACCCCGCCATGTTGCACCCCAGCCCGTGGAGGATGCATCCGTGAACACAACTTCCCGACGACA